AAGGCTGGCGGTTCAAACCCACCAGCCACTCCTCGGAAGGAAGGTTGGGCAATCCTACTTCCGTAGTGATACTGCCTCGGAAACCCAAGGAGGGTTCACTATGAGTCAGGGATGACTCCACGGCACATAACAACAACAACAACATAGCTCCCTTAGGGAGCTCTGATGGTGGAGTGCCTAAGACATTTGACTGCTAACCAGTAGGCTGGTGGGTCACCAGCCACTCCTTGGAAGGAAGGTTGGGCAATCTATTTCCATAGTGATATCGCCTTGGAAACCCAAGGAGGGGTCACTATGAGTTGGATTCGACTCAATGGCAGTGAGTTTGGTTTTATTTTTTACTTAATCTCCAGAACATGCCCATTCAACCTACATGCAAGTGACTGCATCTTGTTTCAAAATTTGAATTTATGAAATTTGGATTTATGATAAATTGTATGGCAGATTTCTGCTTTCCAAAAATAAATAAAAAAATAAATAAACATAAAGGAACTGTGGTATGTGGTGGCTGGTGGTTTGAGTTGCTGGCAGCAGAATTTAAGGGCAGAAGTTTCATTTGAAGACTCATAGTAATAGAATGCAGAAGTCCAGCACCATCATTTCATAAATGAGGAAACCAAGACCCAAACAAAGACCATGAGTTGGGTGGTAGTTAAGGTTTTGTGTCAACTTGGCTGGGCCATGATTTTGAGTGGCTTGGCAGCTGTAATGTAGTATATGGTATAAACACTTCCATAGTGGAATGTTCTGTGAGAAGTTAATCAGTTGAAGGGGAGTTGCCTTCAGGGTATGGTCTGCTTCCAGTGTATATGGAGAGGATCCTACACTTGGCTCATCATTATCTCCAGTTCTTGGGCTCGAACAAGTGGCCTGCTGTTTTGCCTGCCAGTCTTGGAACTGTTGCCTCCTCAGTCTGTGAGCCAACAATCTGGTATATTTCCTGCCAGTCTTGAGTTCATCAGCCCTTGCAGTTGTGTGAGTCAGGAGATGCCTCCAGCTTGTTCTAGTGGGCCTGAAAGGCAGAGCTGAAGCCCAAGGTCAAGGGGCCTCCATCCAGACCCTAGAGCTGGCACTCTGAACTCAGAGTCCTAGCCTAGTCTTCCCCTAGAGCCAGCACTCTGAATTTGGACTTCTAGGCTCCTAAACTGTAAGAGAATAAATTTCTGTTTAAGCCGTCCACTTGTGGTACTTTTGTTATAGCAGCACTAGAGAACTAAGACCAGCTGTCTACTTGTATGACAGCCTGAACCTGCTGCAGAGTCTTCTCTTGTTCTGGGGCCCACTCAAAACTAGCAGCTTTTTTTTTTTTTTTTTTTT